TGGGTTCCTGGAGTGCTGTATTACCCAATGTAAACCAGGCCCACAGTGTCAAAAAGCCAAAACAGGGCCCACCCCATGCCAGGGACCAACCCTGGCACATTGGGGTGTGACCCAGCTGTGCTCAGCTTCCAGCACAGGACCCTGGGCAGCCCTTGGCCTGGCAAAAAGGCATTGCAGGAGGCTCAAGCAGTACCAGTGTTTTTCTCCTGTAAATGCTTAGCTGTTGTTTGGGGACCAGCTTCTGGTATCCCGTTTCATTTAGAAGTCAAGACACACTGAAGCACTGCAGGCTCAAGCTCTCTTCTTCAGAAGAGGTTGTGATGGGAACAGCAGCTTTCAGTGCCTGAAACTGTCTAGGAAAGGAAATACAAAGTCTTACTTTTCCTCACTCTGTGGTTTGACATCTTTCCTTTTCCTTTCTTTTCTTCAGAGGCTGAACCCTGGGCTCATTTGCCACGCTTGAAATGAAGGGATCTTCAGAAGATCATCACAACCCCTACAAGTCTCTTTGGCTCCCAACGCGATTTCTTCAGCTGATGGACTCAGGGCACACTGCAAACAGTCTTGCAGTGGCTGGTAACTCTGCACCTACCTCCTTGAAGACACTGTGGTGCTCAAGGAGCACCTCTTCCTCTCTTCCACTACTAAAAAGTGCTTGTGTGACAGCTTTGCAAGGAGAGCAGAATGCAGAAACCAGCAGGCTGGCACTAGCAGTTCATATTCATCACACAAGCTTTGCAAATGCAAGGCAATGGCAGGTAAGCAGAGAACTGGAAAGACTGTAACCTTTTCAAAACCTAAATCCCTCTCAGCTCACCACTGGCAAATATCTATCTCTGAATGATGACAAAGGAGCACCTATCCTCCTCTTCACCAGAACAACATTGGAGCAGATCTGGTTTCAGACATCTAAGAGCACAGGTGCTCAAGGATCTACAATCAGTGCAGAGAGGGAGCACTTTCAAGGGAAATTGAGCCCAGCTGGCTTTGGACCCATCTCAGGACAGCACTTTAACCCTCAGGAGGGCCTGGTCTCACCACTGGGTATCAGAGTTGGGACATGGTAATCCCCTCATATGCTCCCTACCTCAATAGGAGCTGGAGGGTTCTGCAGTTCTTGTAAGGTCTTGATACTTCATCCACCTGCCAAAGCAAGCAGGCTGAGAGCCTTGCTCTTCAGGTTAAATCAAGAAAAAATGAATGTAAAATCGACAGCAATAGCAATTTCAGTAGAATGGTGTATTACTAGCAGTGTTATTGCTTCCACTGCCTTTATTAGAGTGTATACACAGTGTGCAATAATGTAATTAGATTTCACAATGTGTAATAATGATTTTTATGCAATGCAACAACTGTGCATTAGAGAGGGGAATTGAGTCCCATTACAGAGCCAGCACGAATCTTGGGCCAATACTTCATATCTGACAGTACATCTGTTGGGTCTCAGGTCTGGGCTATAATCCAGTAAAAGCTGGAGAACAGCCTAGTGCAGGGCTCTTTCCACTGTGACTCCAGAAATGCCTCTGTGCTTCCTCCTGCCCCACACCCTCCTGCATGGGCAGCACCACCAGAGCCCAAGAGAACCCAGTGCATTGCTCCTTCATGACGGGAATGCTCACAGGAGAGGACAACCCCTTTCTGTAGAGTAAGGAACATCTTTATCTGCCTTGGAGAAAATTATTTAGGAGCTAAGGCGTAGCCACAACACATGAGCCTACCCAGGTGGGAAGAAAATCAGCAGCACAGCCTGAGATGAATGAGGGGAGATGAACCAACACAGGACTGGGGACTACATAGGGCCCATTGCAGAGATAATAAGGAGACAAAAGGCAGAGGGATATTAAAAGTGCTCCTGATCCACAGATATTCACTGCTCCCAAGTGCAGCTGCTGATGTGTGAGTGCGCTGACAGAACCTGGCACATTTTACCCATGAGCACAGGTGGCGCCAAGTAATTTCCAGCATCACGTCTCCCACTTCAGCCCCTGATGACTGGGCTGGAGCACTTGTGGCATGAGCCAGAAAGGGCACAGCAGTGGCCACTCAGCATGTCCTGCACCACAGTGGCGAGCAGCAGCAGAAATGCAGCCCTTGGCCCCAGCACACCCAGAGCTTGGCTTAACCCTGCCTGGACAATGGCACCCCAAAGCATTGTGACTTGCTCTTGAAATCCAATTGTGACAACAAACTTTTGATGCCTTCAGAATAAATAATTGTCACTTTCCCTCTGAGAGGACTTGTTTTAAATGCCACTTACTCTGTCTCTGCCATTAATGAGCACAAGTTGACCCACTTATTCTCAGCTGCATTTTCCACAGCAAATCATGACTTTACTGCAAAGGTACAGAATATTAGAGACGCAATTTCATTGGCAAGATTTTTTCCGTTAATATTTTCCCTGAACATTTTTTCTCCCTCATCTTGCTAGAATAGAGAATTGCTCTTTTGCAGGTCTATTCTCACTGCTATTCCCTTAGCTTGAGTGAAATATATATGAGATGACTCAGAGTTTGAACTCTCAGTATATGTTTCTAATACAAAGTCTCTGTGTGTCTGGGGACTTAAAACAGATATTTAATTTTAGATAAGAAATACTGGTGACATCATGCCTTTGATTTCTTTGCTGGATATCCGTGCAGCCTGCACATGGTGAAGCTGTTCAGCCATAACACCCTCATTGCTTTTAGGGAGCTGCTCAACATTCAGCAGAGGTGCAGAGCAGCAGGCAGCCACTGGTCCTCACAGGTGGGGCTTAGGGGGAGCACACCATACAATAATAAGTATGTAAGGCTAAATAACGATATTGCAAAGAAAACCAGGGTCTCCAAGTCTCATTTTTGTGCAGCTGCTGTGCCTCAAGGACAACAAAGTTCTAAGCAGGGCACATTAGCTTGAGGGTCAGCTATTCTTACCCCAAAGCCACCTTCCAGATGTTGGTTTATGCCCCCTCAACACAGACATAGGAGAGGTTTAATTTATCCTCACCATCAGTGACTTCAGCTTCCCACAGCAGCAGATGCTGGCAAGTGCATCCAAGCAGAAGGAAGCATGCACGTAACAGCTTCATTTTTAGCTTTACAGATGAAAAAAAAAAAAAAAAAAGAAAAGGCATGTCTTCATCTTATTTTGAAACATGACTAAAAGCTCATATGCATGGAGGGAAGCTTGAGAAAAAAAATCAGACTCCTGCAGCAACACCTTTTAGTCGAGACCATTTTGATGACATTACAGTGACAAATATCCAGCCCTTCCTACAATTTTATACCTTCCTACACAGCAGGTGTTTTCCAAGAAGATCTAGGAGAGCTACTAGCATGGATAAACAGGGTGTAAGACAGGAAATAAAATTTAATTGCTGAGACACGAGTCAAACTGCCCTACTTGCACATCAACAGAAACACTTAGCATGTGGGGTGTCTTACCAAGGGGTCCAACAGAGTCATCATTCTTCAGAACTCCAGTCACTCTTGAAACACCTTCCTAAAGTTTAATCTCCAGTACAGTCAGGAGTTATAAAACTGACGCAAGCAGCATCAGCTCCATCACTTTGACCTGCATGAAGGAAATCCTCCTCAGCACGCCCCGTTGATCTTGTTAAGGGCTCTTTATGCAACATCCACAGGTGTTGCTGTTACTTCTCCAGTTAGGGACCAGAGTTACACCCAGGTGGGCACAGAGCTGATAAAAGCAGCTCCTAGCCTTCATACCACATACTTATGTCGTGTTTACTTTGTTTCCCCCCCTAAACTTTGTCATGTGCTTCTCCTACTTGCTCTAAAAGAATAACGAACAAACCTGTGGAGTGAGAGAATTTGGTTTGTTTGGCCTGCAAAACAGAAAGCTTAGGAGTAATGTAATAGCTGCCTCTTGTACCTGAGAGAGCCAAAAAGAAACATGGAAAAGGACTATTTGCTGCTACCAGTTCTGCAGTGATGGGTTCAATGGCTGTGAGGCACAGTAACCCCTCAGCATCCCTCTCTTATGATCCCATGCTCTTGAAGGTACAGCCCAGGGTGCTGACATGCAAAGTTCACTCCCCTTTGCACACTGCCAGCTGGCAAGTGGTATTCCAGGCCTACCTAATACTATTGTAATTTTTTATGTTAATAAAATATGGTTGGAAAAAAAAAATCACAGGTGTGAAGTATGGCTGAAGACTCAGCAGGGGTGTTTCTGCAGTTCCTCAGGGAGCCAGCAATTCCTTCTGACCCTGAAACCAGAGCTTGTAGGTGACAGGCTTCTCTTTTTTTTTTTAACTTTTTTTTCCCTCTTTCATTCTTTAAACTGTGGAACAGCATAATATCTAACTAAAGCTCATTGTACATCACCTTACTGGTGTATTGGGTCAGGGAGTCCGTGGGTTAATCCCGTGATGGGTAATGAAACATTACTTATAACTACATTTAAAAACTTCACCTCTTCATTGCTCCACATAGTGCCACTTGCTGTATAACCTATGGTGAACTGCAGCACTCAATTCACCTCCTCTGGACACTACTCATTATTTTATAGGTCTCTAACATGACACTTCTTCTGTGCCTTTGCACTAAAAATATTTCTAAATGGCTCCTAACAGGAAAGTCTCTGCTTTCATTTAATAAATCCTTTATGTCTCCTTATTCCTTGGTCCCCGGGAGAAGCAGCGTGGTCCAAGGAAAACACGTGCAATCAATTGGGAACCTGGGATTAAGCCTCCCTGGAATGTTATACCTTTAAACACTCATGGAAGCCCAGCCACTTTCCCAGCTGCAAGGCACAGTGAGCAGATGTTTTCCTTGCCCCCTCTGACCAGGCTTTCCTCAAGCAGGGGATATGGCCCATGTGTTACCTGGAACTGGGATTTTCTTGTAAGAAAAGGCAGCAGAAATCACCACACATGTCCATAAGCTCCTGCCTCTGCACTGGCAGGTGGCTCCTTGTTGTTTTGTTAAACCTCCAGCATTTGTAAGCATTGGGGTATTTATGTTGACTGTGACATACTACCACTCAGATCTCCTGTATTAGGGTTGCATTGTTTTTTATGTGAAATATTGCAGCAGCTAATTGCAATTACCAGAAAGCATATACAAGAGAGCTTGTTGATTGCCAGTAGACAAAGACACTTTGGAAATCTTGGATTTTGCTATAGATGAAAGCCTGTAAATTTTAAAATAGAAACCACGTTATCGTTTACAATTTCCGTTTGCGAACAAATTCTGCTAAACAAAATTGGCGGCTGATTAAGTAAACATTTATACATAAATAAAACAGTGAAGATCTCTTCAGTTGTTGAGATGCAGCCAGTTCAGTCTCTCGTAAATAATACAGTGATGAATTCTGGCGTTACAGTGCATGATAAAGCTACCTCGCCTCAAAGTCTTAGGCAAACTAATCCATACGCATGAATCAATCAGTTCATTTCAGTCATACCAGCGTTATATAAATGTCACCAAAATCAATGCCTGAAAGATATAACAGATTAATAAGTCCTCATGCGGTACATCTAACTGGGATGCAAACCTACAGCAGATAACTTCACGCTGAGCACAGCTATACAAGTAGCTTGAATAAGTCATTTTAATAGAAAACTCAAGGGCAGGCCTGTAATGAGCAGGCGTGGATGAGAAAAATCTGGTGCATTATTAATTTCAGACAATGCCGAGTTCTTTTTCATAATGTACATTTTATTAATGCTTTCTGTGATAGCTTTTCATACCGGTTCACCACCAGGAGTACAGTAATTACAATGTATTAAGATTCATTCCATGCCTGAGGAGTAAGGAAGTCCAGTTACGATATGGAAAGCGAATGAAATGTCAATCAGTATTGACTCAGGGCTGGATTAAATCAAAACTCTGCCAGGTGGGTTTGGTAACAGCACCTCCCTCACGCAATCTTCAGTGATTATCTGCCTCCCCCTCCTCACTGCTCATCTCCATGTGTGACCTGTGTGCCATCAATATGGATGCAGTGGATGGGATTCATCATTTTTATGAGGACTTGGGGTTGGTCTGGCTCATCTTCACAACTGTCAGTTGTGGGGTGTCAGCCTCTTTTAGGGTTGGAGAGAGAGAGAAACTTTGAAGGTTATTGTAAACGCCTCCTAACTCCTAACTTCTAGACATAAAGGGTTCAAGGTATAGGATAATGGGACTGTCTGGGAAGAGGAACTAATAGTGAGTGTTCCAATGAAAAAAAATCCCCCACTCAACCCAGCTAGGGGAGTTCTGCTTTCCTGCAATCTAATAAAACCAGGGAATATCTTCTTTCCTGTAATTGCTGCCCGTAAGTTTTCCCCATGCTGCACCTCAAACCTCCCCAGGGTCAGGAAGCCTTGGGTTCAGGATTTCGCATTGCCCTTTGGGGCCCTAGAAACCATAGAAATGGTTTCTATATTTCCTCATATCTGTGAAAGATCGTGAACTTTCAAACATTTTGGAGTTACTTGTTTTGCTTAATATGCTGGCTGACTTTCAGCACATTTCCAGCACAAAGTCAGGGTGTGTTACTCATATCTTTCACTATTTTTCTCCCTGGAAAAAAGATTAACAACCTTCACTGGGGAGGAAACCACATCCCCAAGATGATGGTCACCTTGCCTGGGGACACTATACAAACCTGGAGAAGTGGGCAAAGGAAGAGGTGTCCACATGTGGCAGATGAAAGCACAGTGCCTCCCATGCACTGGTTTGATAAATTAAAAAATGCCCTGATAAATATATAAATCACTTGGCACTGGCAGTTGTTAGGTGTTAATGGCAACACACACAGCTGGATGACAGGAGGTATTCAAGTATTCAAGTGGAAAAGACTCCCTGCAGCTCACCTTGGACCACTGCAAGCAAATTACCACTCTGGATGCCCAAATCCCTCAGGAATTTGAGGCAGATTCCAATTTCTGTTGATTGCCCACTGCCCATTCCTTGCAAAGCTAAAGGGGCTTTGGCCCCAGTGCTGTGCTAAAAACAGTTGTGCTAAAAAGCTATCTGGCTTTCTCATGGGGAAGACACTTCACCTTGGCACTGCTTTCCTGCAAAATGCTAAGCTGAGGAGACACTTCTATGTCCAGAGAAAGTTATTGGGGGTAACTTTCAAAAATACAATGTATGGGCTTTTTCCTAATTTCAATTTCTAATTTCATTCTCTTTTCCTAATTTCCCTGCACTGCATGAATCCGAACAGACTCAGAGTAAATAAGCCTCATTCCCTGGAGAGGTGCGGACACTACTCTGCACTCCTGCTACTGGAGCTGGACCCAGCAGCGTTACCTACGACTCCTGGAACATGTTTGGGTGGATAAAGGGCAGTACAACACACACATCCATTTTCTCTCCTCTCTCATGGACACAGCTACACAGACACAGGGACCGGCAGTGGCTGGCAGCCCCCGAACCAGACACAGCCTTGCACACGCGTTTGCACAGACAGAGAACTGCACAGACAGGCACTGGCTGACATGAACACACAACATGTCTAGGCATGCCTCCATTTACCCAGCCAAACAGTGGGCCCAAAGCCATTAATAAGCCTTCAGGGTTTGGGGTTTTTTTCTTTTTTTTTTTTTTAAACTAATGCTAAAAGCCTGAGGATCACCACGCTGATGGGGTTTGCATCCCTCTGATGACTTCTGCCCATCCCACCCTCCTCCCTCCCACAACTGCACCAAGCAGTCCAAGTCCTCTGTGGGCTGTAGCTGATTATTTACATCAGCGGAGACCATGGGACCGACGAGTTCACCCTGCTGACAGCGACTAGGGAGAAATGTCTGCTGAATCCTCTGCTGGACAGGTCCATCCTCCTTCAGGTGTCTCCTGCAGTGATGGCAGAGCTTGGCTGCGAGAGCCCACGCCAGCCTCCAGCAGGCAGATCCCATGGGTTCCCATATATCCATCCCCAGCTGAGCTGATTGAGAAACGCTAACTTCAAGATACTAAGGCTCTTTTCTTTTTTTTTTTCCTCAAAAAAATATTTCTATTTACACAAGACAATAAAATCTGAGCAGCTTTCCCCCGAGAAGCTTTGGCCAAGCGGAGCTGCTGCTGGACACATGCGCCAGTCCCTATTTACAAGCAACAGCTTCGCTTGACAGTACTCTGCTGGCACGTTCAGCTTCTCCTGGTGTAAGGACTACTTCTCTGTCCCTCTGGGCCTTCCCTGGTTGGCTCTTCACACTGACAGGTCTGTATTTACAACAGCAACCTGGATCCGGCAGGTTCCCCTTTCTACAGCCCAGCCTGAGGGCACGGAGAGAGGCCCAGAATGGTGGATCAAGCACACTCGGCCATTTTTAAAGTGTTATCAAGTCGCAAAGTCAATGTTCTGAGCAGGTGAAACTAATTTCTTATTACAAAAGACAATTTTCACCTGCTCTGCTCATCTTCAAAAAACAGACGAGCGGCCAAACACCGAGGGCCCATCCCAGGGCGCTGCCATGCAGTGGGAATCTCAGCTGGCTGCTCTCTCCATGGGGATGCGAGGGTTTGGTCGAGGCCAGCTTCTCCAGCCTCTCCTGTAGCACGATCCCAAGTGAGGGACGGGGGGCTGAGGCACAGAGGAGGTGGTGTACTGGCACGGGCTGGCCGGGGCAGGCTCAGGGTCCCCAGGTGCTAGATGACACTGTCCTCCATGGTGACTCGCCTGAAGACCGGCTCCTGCTTGGGCGTCCTGACGCCTTCTGTGAAAAACAAGGGGAGAGCAGGTAAATCCCCGCACCCTGCAACCAACAGCAACTATTTTCAAGACCATTCCCATCCCCAAACAAAGCAGAAGATGCCTTGCTTGCCTTGAAAAGGAAGGCTTGCTCAGGGAAGTGAGTGCATTTATGGGTGAGCATCCCATGGCGAATCTCCTCCCACCCTTTTTGCTGAATTTGTATGAGGCAGTAGTTTGTAGTACAGCAGCATCAGCCACTGCTGCCCACTGCTCTGCAGAAGAGTGACACCGTGGTGTCTCTTTGCTCCTCTGTGTTTTCCACATCACTGAGCTGCAGCCACCAGTTTGTGTCAACACAACAGGGCTTGTTTGAGCAAACTGCATTTTTTCTTGTGTCCCCCTCACCCCTTAATAATAAATATTCAGTATGAATGACTTCAGAGTAAACAGATTTGTTTTGATATCAGACATTATCTGAAGGGCACTTTGCATCCGAGTGCTCTGCTTTACAGCTGCCTTTATAATCACTGCAGCCCAAGGGGGGAAAGCATCTCCTTTCACACGCTCACGTCAGGAGGACGCAGCCTCATGCACTTTGGGGTGAGCTCATGCAGGTTTTTTTATAGATAATATTTCAGGGAGATGTTTAGGTAGGCTAATCACATTGAAAAAGAATCAAGAGTTATTCTGGAGATATTTTCTAAGCATAAATAATTTCACTCTGTTTCTCACCCTCCCAAATATTTGTGGGTCTCTATGGCATCAAAGGCAAAGTGGTGGGGGCAGAATCAGCAACATTTCAGGCACCTCCCAGCTTGGCCATTTAGGCTGATCTTTTGGGGTTTTTCTGAGGAGGAGGGACTTTCATCCTTTCCTTGTTGCTCATCTACCTTTTCTTCTTTTTTCTAAGTAGTAGGATGCATTTTCTCCTTTCATTTCCACTACTGTTAGCTCAGTGGGGTGCTTTGCACTGCAGTTCAAACTGCCAGCAGTGGAAAATGCCTGGGTACACAGTGTGTAAAGAAAATCAAAAATCCCACCTATTTAATATGTAGCACTCTTCCTGGCTGATATCAACAGCAGCTTAAGCAATGAGGCCTTTTATCTCTAAGTTTGAATAAGCAAGCGAGGAAGTGGGTAAGGGGAAGGTGACCAAAGGGCAGAGCTGAGGTGTTTGCACTGGAAAAAATAATCCTGTTCTATTTATCAGGAAGGGACCCTCTCAAAAAAACCCCCAAAAAACCCCAAACCAAAAGGCTGCTTTGTGGCAAACCATTTAAACTTATATATATATTTAAGGTAAGGAAACCAGGGACTGACCAGAGTAGGCACCCGATAGCCACAGCAAAGATTTTAGCTTGCCTCAAATATGCCTTCCATCACACATGGTTCTAATTCCCCATGATCTTGCACTTCTCTCCAGCTGCATGCAGAAAGCACCTGAGAAACTCTTTTTGGCATATTTCAGCCAGAGGACAAAGCCTTGCAAGAAATTTGGGGCTTTTTCTTTTCATACCCCCCACCCAAAGTCCCTTTTTCCACACCCGCTTTGCAGCTTTTGTGCAACCAAATCCTCAGAGATGCTTGGGGCACCGTGCTTCTGCTTCCCAAGTGGAATCCCCAGACATCCTCCACCCAGTTTGTTGACTGCTTGGTTTTCACCATTCATCCCCAAGGCCATTTTTCAGTGGATATTACCACAGACTCGTGCCCACTGAAAGGTGAAGCCTTTGCTGCTGGTGGGACACAAAGGCTGCAGGGCCACTGTCTGGAGTGAGGTTTTCTGCCACAGGGACCCAAATTTAACTCTGCCTGGGATGCCTCCAGGAGAAGTGGGAGAAGATCGGCTGAAAAGAGTTTTATTATTGCTGTAATTTACCCACCAAGCACCCTTTGCTGGAAATAACCTTTCCAAAGCTGTAACACAAGATGCAGTCCATTGTAAGTGGCAGTCTGAGATATTTGGTCATCTGTACAAATATTGCCAACACACCAGCTGAGGAGGTTGTGCAGCAGTTATGTTTGTGTCTTCAAAGTTGCTGTTTAGGGTTTTAAGCAGCACTGCTAAAATACCAAGCATTTGCTTCCAACACATAATAATTGCTCTCTATACCAATATTTTTGTTTATTTATTGAGGCTTTAGCTTGGGTTTTTACATGTGTACAGTGTATTTAAGGAGTAGAAATATAAGAAAAGAAAATATGTGGAGGGTAAAGAAATGAAAAGACAGAAAATAATTAGGATTTTTTTTTTTGTTCTTGGCATTTTCCTGAAGAATACTATCACTATCTGTCTGGTGTATTGAACACAATAAACAGTAACCACCTGTAAAAAGCTATTTTGATGTGAAAAAGGAAGATTTCCAAGCTATCCTGGCAACTCTTCATATTTCAGCTTTAAATAGACTGCCTCTGCTGAACTGGGATGACAAATGATCTGGTGTATGATCCATGCATCCCAAAGCCTTTGGAAGAGCAAAAGTGGCCCTAAGCCAGCTACCTGTGCTGAAGGAAATGCCCCTCATTCGGGAAAGGGGAGTGCTGCTGCCTCCAGGGGTACTGCAGTGCCCTCCCCTGACTGCCTGCTAGTGTCCCCGCCCAGGACAGGCACTGAACAACCCATGGGAGCATTAACGCCTGCCCTGGGAGCACCAATCACAGATTTTATCTGGCTTCAGCTTCACACTGCAGGATGCCCTCCACGCGCTACCAGAGAGCCCGCAACAACATGACATTTATATAATGTTCATGAGCCCAGACTATTTAAACCCTAAAATATTCATTAAATGAAATTTGCATAGAGTGTAGCCGAATGCAGCAGACAGCTAAAAATAAAGTACTTTTCTTTCTAAAGGTAAGGAGGAGATCAGGGTGTGACAGATGACCAAGCTTGTGCTCTAAGGCTTTCCTGAGACAGGTCTTTAATAAGATGAGCTATCTTTCAATCCTTGTTGACTAGGCAATTCTGCAGGGTATTGCATTCTTCATAACCTAGTGAGATCAAGGGCACATGGGGGTGTGACAGAGAGGCCAGCTGCTCAGGGAAGGGGGATGCAGGCAATAGGGACCGACAGACACAAAAGGACCCCCAGGAGCTCAGTGCCTCCCCTCATCACCACCGTTTCCCCTGGCCCTCTGAGGTATCCCACTGCTTATTACCTGGGGCAAGGGAAGAAGGAAAAATATTGGTAAACAACCACAGATGTCAAGGAATTAAAAGCAATCAACAGGCAGAAATGAACAGGACCATGGTAAGCACTACTGCCTACACAGTGCCTCCAAAGCTGTGATGAATACCCCCCATTCCAAGCAACCCTCCAGTCCACATGGTCTTTCTTGGCATGTCTTTTGCCTTGTATTTCTCCTTCATGTTTCAGGGAGATCTTACAGTCTCTGCTGGCGCTTGCAGAAAATGGGTAGGAATTGCCTGCTGTAGTCAAGGTGTCCTTAAGCAGTAAGCTTAAGATGTGTCAGCCCTCTATGGAGTGGTCTGCAATGGGATTACACAGGAAAAATAACCCAGTCCTGCACAAATTAGCAGTGAGTGAAAAAAGGCATTCGTAACTTGTAAAGCATCCTAAGATGGTTTTCAGGAAAATGCAAAGCATGGAGCCTTGAACTTCTCCATCCCACTCTTCCCACCTGCAAGAAAGGCTTTCTAAAGGGGCAACTCAATCAATGGATTAACATTAACAATCCTCACTCCAAACATGCCTGGCAGCTCAAGCTTCCCAAAGGTGGCCCTGTGTTTCAGAAAATGGTCTGTGTATCAGCTGATGTTCTCATCAGCTCAAGCACTACCTATTTGCCTCTATTTTGTCTGTTTTCAGCTGAAAGTGGGATGCTTGTTGCACTTGAATGATGAAGCTTTAATCTTCTCCCTATAAGCTAAATCTGGTTTGGTTTTCTTTCCTTTGTTTTGTTAAATGGAGCCCTAGAAAAGATCCCTTGAGTACAGGCCTGATTATCCCCTTCAACCCAGCCTACACAGTTATGTGCCCCAAGCATGAGTATGGATTTAACATCATAATCACTACTGCATTTTCATCAAGCTTTTTTCTCACATTCTTGCCTTGGCTCAGCATTAAGAAATGCCTTAGAAGTTTTCCAGCTCTCCCTCATACCCCAGGAGCATTGCAGGCACCGAGGACTTAACAGTGAGTTGATTTTCACATGCTGCAGTCTGCACAGAAGAAACTGCTGCCAGTCACATAAGAACTGTACATAGTGAGCTACTTATCAACAAGCACCAACCCTCACCATGCCCATAATCAACTATCTGACACAATAAAATCTGTTTTCAAGGGGAAGAAAATGCCAAAAATAATCTGCATCCTGCTCCCCTTCATAAAACATCCCCACTATATTACAGTCTTAAACCATTTTTGGCTTAATAAAATTAATAATATATATTTTCCTTCTATTTTGTGATTCAGCTGTTTCCCAAGCCATAAGAAGCATCAACAGTGAATCCTGTGATGTCAGAGCAGCCTGGGAGCAGAAATAATCAGCTTGAAAATAAACAGCATTTTTTTGCAATCAGAGTGCTAATAGGCATGGGTAGGCTGGCAAAGAGAAGGGATGGAGAAGAGGGGAAAAACGCCTGCCACACTGATAAACCTGAAATACATAAAAGGGCTGGGGAAGAATGACCATTTCTAGTAAAAGAAGGTAAAGATTTTTCAGTAGGACAAAACCATCCCATAGCAAATCCACCACGGGTTTGTTCTTGCAGTGTCAGAAACACTGATAAATGCCGTGTTCATCATCTGCCTCCCACTTTATCATGATATTTGCTAGGGTGTATCTCACCCTCTGCATGCACTCAATTCCACCATACCCCTGAAAAACTATTTTTTGAGTCTAATACAGTAAAAAATTTTTATTTTCCCCAAAATATGAGGTATCTCAGTTATTTAAAGCCTCAGCAGCCTCTCTTGGGCTGCTGGATGAATTGCTGCGACCACACGGGTGTGAGTAACCTGCTGTACCTGCAACAGTGGATCCACCATGCACTATCCA